TCCCGCGCCGTCCTGGGATAAACCTCCACCACGGGCACAGAAGTGGCGCCTATCCCCGCGCGAAACCAAACAGGCTGGGGCGGTGGCTTTCGTAGGTTTATCCCAGGCCGCCCCGGGATAAACCTCCACCCCGGGCAGAGCAATGGGCTTTATCCCCGTGCAGAGCAGGCGGGGGGGATGACAAACTGTCGTAGGTTTCTCCCAGGCCGTCCTGGGATAAACCTCCACCACGGGCACAGAGGTGGTGCTTATCCCCGCGCGAAACAGGCTGGGGCGGTGGCTTTCGTAGGTTTATCCCAGGCCGCCCCGGGATAAACCTGCACCACGGGCACGGCGGTGGGCGCTATCCCCATGCGAGACAGGCTGGGGGGATGCCTGTCGTAGGTTTATCCCGGGCCCTCCTGGGATACATAAACCTCCACCACGGGCACAGGAGTGGGGTCTGTCCCCGCGCGCGCAAAACAGGCTGGGGCGGTGGCTTTCGTAGGTTTATCCCCGGCCGCCCTGGGATAAACCTCCACCAAGGGCACAACAGTGGGACTCGCCCCCATGCAAAACAGGCTGGGCGGGCGCCTGTCGTAGGTTTATCCCAAGCCGCCCCCCCTTGGATAAGCCTCCCGCTAGCCAGGTCATCGGGCTGCGCGCCTGTTAGCGACTGGAAAGCCTTCAACCGCACCCCGTCAACGCCCGCGGCCTCCGGGCTCACCCGCTGCAAATGCTGGCGCAACTGCTCGCCGACTATCGCTATCGGCGGCCGGCACCCATGTGCGAGCGGCCGCCAGCTCGTTAAGCATCTTGCGGACCTCCTCCCCTGAGTACGTGCGCCCCCTTTGTTAATCCGCACGCCTTCGCCTTTCGGCAAGTGCCGCGCAGCGAGATGCTTCGTGCACTGTTCCACGCCGTGGATGATGCTTGGCGCATCAGGCAAGCCGACGCCAAGTTCCGTCACTTGCGGAACTGGGGCGCCTCTGCCCTTCCCGCTCACTTCGTCTCGCGCTTGGCGTGCTAGAATCAAAATAAATATAGCCGATCAGTTTTATTCGATACTGCTCCACTAGCTGCGCAACATGACCCTGCGATTCCAAATTTGTCATGCACAACAGCAAAAGCTTCACCCTGGGGTGAGAACGTTTTCACGCAGGATAAGACCTCGAAGTAAGTCAAGCACTCGATGATCAAGTCACGGCTGGTAGTCGAAAGTACAATAGCAGCTTCCGCCACTGTATGAGATTCCACAATTCCCCCTCCCCCTGATTTGAGAAGTGGGGGGCATGAACAGCAACACAAGCTAGCAGTAGTAGAAGCAGAACTGAAAGAAGTTCTGTGGCCTCCGCATGACAAATCATAATCAGCAAACAGGCAGTGACTAGGTTGGGACTTCGGAAAGCTGTCATGCAAGCAGTGCGGAGAACTACAACCTTGAGTTGGTATTTTGCATGACAAATCATGATGAGGCGGAGGGGGGGTTGCGCAGTCTCATACGATGTGCCCAGGGTTGCTCCGTGGACACCAAGATCTTTGCGAAGGTCGTATGTTTGCCCGGTTGGAAATTTGCTTCTCCCCCGGACGGCAGCGACCAGTCGCCCGGCTGTGGCTTGTTTGACTTGGTAGAGGTGGTAGACGGGCTTGGCGTCGACAAACCCACCAGGAAGTAGCTTCGATCTTGTCGCAAAAATATCCATATGCAAATGTGCCTGGGGAAACAAAAATTTGCGTACCTTAGGGCTTCTACGAGATCTGTAGTGCATAAATTGGAGTGGAGAACTTGTTTGTCATGCTCAGATGAGCATGAGCACTGCAGGAAATAACATTCAATTCTCGGAAGGGCAGTTTGTCATGCGTGTATGCGTTTCTACTTTATATTAGTTGTTCACCAGGTACAACTACATCCAAAAAAAAATATAGTACTTCCGTTAACGCAAGGAGCAGCAAGACAAATCATCTATATCGTACCAGACCCAGACACGTTTGCAGCTCGTAACACGTTACGACGAGCAAACTTATCACTCCTAGTCCTCCGCTCGGGTCGGCAACTAGGCACATCGGCCGCTGGTTAGACTCTGCAGATTTAACGACTTGGTTCGCATCGACGCTTAGCGGCCTGCAACTTTCCCTGCATCGCCCCCTGCTGTGACATCTATTTCCGGTGAGCAGCCGAACTACTGCTCCGATGCTGCTGCTCCTCGGTGTAGTTGATGTTTGTTTTGTTGAAGTAGACCCCGGATTGCTATCCAGCGAAGATGAAGAAACGGACGACGAGGTGGACGCTACTTCTGCAACCGGTGTCCACGTGCTTGCTGGTTGTCTCGGAAATTCGGTACTTTCCGCGAAGTCTAGGACTTTCACCACTGGTTCGCGTAACTGCTCCTCAAGGATGTTCGCAGTGTCACTTCTACGAACGGAAACGCTATGCATCGCAAACACGTAGTTGTCTAGATACGGAAGAATCCTCCGGGTTTGTGATGTGCAACTAGGCGGGGGTCCTCGCTAGTAAAAGTAATAGTCAACGAAAGGGGAAAGGATTTGTCTAGTCACCGTCGATCATCACACCACACTTGTAACTTTTACGCGAACCGATTCCAACCGAAGTGATCACAGACCAAAGAGGCATGCAATTACAAGCCGAAATATTTATGATCACGACATCATTCCTCCTCTGGAGGACCGAAAGGGCAAGGAAGTACAGCTTTTTTCTGCCCCATCACCATTACATTCTGCGAAGAACAAGTGTCTGATCGAGACACTTGGAGAGCAGAAAAGTGGTTCTTGCAGAACTTTCAAAAAAGAGAATCAGTTCGGTGGAGCTGTTCTAAGTCTATTTTTGCATGACAAATTATGCCAAAAATCCCAAACCCAAAGTTTGAGCTTTTTTCTGTCCAATCAGCACTACATTCTGCGAAGAACAAGTGTCTGATCGAGACACTTGGAGAGCAGAAAAGTGGTTCTTACAGAACTTTCAAAAACGAGAATCAGCTCGGTGGAGCTGTTCTAACTTTATTTTTGCATGACAAATTATGCCAAAAATCCCAAACCCAAAGTTTGACCTTTTTTCTGTCCAATCACCATTACATTCTGTGAAGAACAAGTATCTGATCGAGACACTTGGAGAGCAGAAAAGTGGTTCGTGCAGAACGTTCAAAAATGAGAATCAGCTCGGTGGAGCTGTTCTAAGCCTACTTTTGCATGAAAATTTATGCCGAAAATCCCAAAGCCGAAATTTGAGCTTTTTTCTGTCCAATCACCATTACATTCTGCGAAAAGCAAATGTCTGATCGAGACACTTGGAGAGCAGAAAAGTGGTTCGCGCAGAACTCTCAAAAATGAGAATCAGCTCGGTGGAGCTGTTCTAAGTCTACTTTTGCATGGCAAATTATGCCAAAAATCCCAAACCCAAAATTTGAGCTTTTTGCTGTCCAATCACCATTACATTCTGCGAAAAGCAAATGTCTGATCGAGACACTTGGAGAGCAGCAAAGTGGTTCGCGCAGAACTCTCAAAAATGAGAATCAGCTCGGTGGAGCTGTTCTAAGTCTACTTTTGCATGGCAAATTATGCCAAAAATCCCAAACCCAAAATTTGAGCTTTTTGCTGTCCAATCACCATTACATTCTGCGAAAAGCAAATGTCTGATCGAGACACTTGGAGAGCAGCAAAGTGGTTCGTGCAGAACTTTCAAACATAAGAATCAGCTCGGTGGCGCTGTTCTAAGTCTACTTTTGCATGTCAAATTATGCCAAAAATCCCAAAGCCGAAATTTGAGCTTTTTTCTGTCCAATCACCATTGAAGAACAAGTGTCTGATCGACACATTTGGAGAGCAGAAAAGTGGTTCTTGCAGAACTTTCAAGTTGAACAAGAATGCCTTGACATTAAAAACGTACGCAACATCGATGGTCGCCAGGCAGTGGAGACGAGCTCCCACAGTTTTTGAGGTTTCCTTGCATCACATCAGGGTTTCAAAGTAGTGCCACAACTTGCGATTCTCGTTCTCACATTGACATTTTAGAATTTATTCTAGGGCGTGAAGTTCGCCTCACGAAGAAGCGCAATTTCAAGTAGTTCAAAGTAGTTCTACATACAAACAGCTACACTCGTTCCTTCCTTTCCCGGTGAAGCGAACCCCAACCGGTCTATCCATTTTACATTTTGACTTTAGCATACTTCCATCAAAATCGCAGAACTTCCTTACAATCCTGTGGATTTCCGCATCAATGATCCATCTTCATCGTTGTCCAGTTTCATTTCACATTCCAGCAGTCCAGCTCCGTTTTTTAATTTTCCGACTTTGGTCGTTGCAGGGTGCAAAAACAGCGAGGACGGAAAGCGTGTTGGATCGTCGGAACCCGGTTTGGTTACCTACCAGTTCCGGGACGGAAATTTCCCACTCGTCAGCACCAACCCGAGGCTGTCGGAGAGTTGTCAAATTGAAAGATACAGTATTGAAGTCACACGTGCAGGTGCACCGGGGAATTGTTGTATATTTCATGCGAACATCATATTTCAAGAATTTATGAAAAAAAAACACTATTTACCCGATCGCCACTAGCAACACCACAAACACAGATCCCAATCCCCAGTAAGACGTGGCGTTTTTTACCGTTCCGGTTACTGCAATTTGTGCTCTGCTTTTAATTTCCTCATGAGAACTGCAACGCGTGGTTTTCGAACTACTCGCTCCCCCGTCGAGCCGGGGCTCTTGCTCACGATCGACTGCGGGTTCGAGAATTGTGACCTCCTTGTGCAGCTTCTTCTCGACAAAGTTCAAAACCTTCATGTCGTCATTTTCAACTGCGCATCCCTGCGGCTCAGAGCTCCCCCTCCCGCGAAGTGCGGTGTCGATGTTTTCCACGAGATTCTTCAGGTGCTTCTGCCTCTCTTGGAACGACCACACGTTCGACAGGCCCCAGGCTGCAGAGGCATCAGTCTTCCTGCGCATGTCCTGGTTGAAAAGAAACACCTCCAGCTGGAAAATCTGGTCCCGCAACGCCGCTATCCACTTCTCCAGCGCCTCCAGTTGCAGTGTGTGCAGTCGGCGAGTTCGCGCGTCCGTGATCTTGCTCACAATGTCCTCGTGCACCCCCCGCTGTTGTACGAAATCCTGTTCAGCGTGCGCCAGCAGAGGCCACAGCCACTGACACTTCTGAATCAGCGTCTCCAGATCCGTGGCACTGTTTTCTAGTCTTTCGGAGCGGTTCACTTTCCATGCCACGTCTCCGACGCAGTGCAAGAGGTCGGAGACGTCATTCTTGTTCCGAAAGATACTGTTGTACGTGCGGGCGTAGAGGATCTGTTCGAGTGACTTCGAGAATTCTTTGTTTGCCCACTTAGTATCCATTCTTTTTCTTTATCTTCTCGGGGTCGAGAAACAACGAACTGCAAAAAAAACCACGGTGAGTCTCCGCTAAAACTTCTTCCTGTACTATATTTGGACAAATAAGAATAACAACACTCTTCGTGGCGGCCCGCATCAGTTACGGCGGAAAAAAATTTATTTAATGCCGTGTTCCCTTACTAAGCGAACGGTGTTTGAGATTCAAATTTGAATTCAAAGCGTCGACACGGCAAAATCTCTCGCCCAAAAAACTTTTATCGCTCAGCAAACACCACCAAAGCAAAACCTCTCACAATCCTTATCTGCGTTTCAGGCTCTGCTTTGGTTCAAAACAAAACAAAACAAAAGCGACAGGATGGTACCGAGCGAGATAGGCGAAATGTGAAGCTAAAAAACGACAGAACGCGACTGCACGCCAGAAACATTCGGTGGTCTAGTTGCCATGCCAGAGCGTCAACCCTGAACCTCCTAAACGTCGACTCTAGTTTAATAGTCACATCAGAATCGCAATAGCGACGCTTCGGTAGCTAGGAGAACTACCGTGTTTCATAAGGCAGATTTTCTTGTTAGCTCTCGTCAGGAGTTTGAAGTAAGTACTATCAATCTCGTCGCTATTCTGATATTTCAGAACTTGGTCGCATCACGACCAATAAACGCAAGCTTAAAGCAGCTTCGGCACAACACTAGTTCTACATTGAAACAGCTATCTATCAATGAACTACCTACACTCGTTCCTTATCTTCCCCACCGGTCTAAGCATTTCACTTTTTATACTCATACATCCATATTTACTCTATACACTTCATCGATTTTCAGCAAAATTTCCGTGCACTTCATCTTCGAACTTCCACATCATTCCGTCGTGTTCATCGTCCAGTTTCATTTCACATTCCAGCAGTCCAGCTAAATTATTCAAGTTGAAGTTTCCGACTTTGGTTCTTGCAGCATTCAAAACCAGCAAGGAAGAGGTTCTTGATCGTCGAGACCAGCGCTACCAGTTTCGGGGGAGAAATTCCCCCTTCGTCAGTTGTAGCCACCCGAGCCTGTTGTATAAAAGAGTTGTGACGTTGAGAGACCCACCAGTAAGTATCAAAATTCTGGTGCGTGCAGGAACTTCATGCGAACATATTTCAACATTTATTTAGGAAAAAAAGTAAGTCCTTACCCAATCGCGACTAGGACCAGCAGCGCCGCAAACACGAAGCCCGCTCCGAACGTGGCGATCGCCGTCCCGGTAACCGCAACTTTCCTCTTTGTTTCCACATCACCGCCCCGCCGCGTGGTATCCTCGGTAGTTGTGGAATGGTCAAGCGGTTCTTCTTCCTCCTCAACTGCGGGTTCGAGAATTGTGACCTCCTTGTGCAGCTTCTTCTCGAGAAAGTTCAAAACCTTCATCTGGTCATTATTACGTTTCCCCCACCCGCCGAACCCAACATCTACAAAGCTGCAACTGTTCCCGCGCAGGGCCTTGTGAATGTTGTCCAACAGGTACCTCAGCTGTTGGTATATTCTAGAAAGGTTCAACATCCCCAGGGTGGCCGCAGTCTTTTTTGCAGCTCTTTCGAAGCGGAAACTACCCCCGTCTGTTCCCACGGGGAAACCCTGTTCCTCGTTGACAAGACACACCTCCAGCTCAAAAATCTGGTCCCGCATGTCCGCTATCCACTTCTCCAGTGCCTCCAGCTGCAGAGTGTGCAGTCGGCGAGCTCGCGCGTCCGTGACGCCACTCACGATCGCGTCGTGCTTCTCTCGCCATTGCTGGAGGGTTACAACTATTCCCGCTACATCGCTCCACACCGACCGAGCCTTCATAATCAGCCACTCCACGTCCTTCCGCAAGCTGGACGAGACGGGGGCCATCCTCGCTCTTCGCACTATTCCTTCAATTGCTTGCAGCAGGTCGACGACGCTTCCCTCCAGGTCCGCTTCACCAAAGTGATTTTCACCAAAGACTTCTTGTTGAGGAACTCCCACAGGTCACTTTCAATTTGCTGAGAGTTGCCATTCCACTCCATATCCATTTTTCTGTAGTTCAGTCCTCAGGGAACAAGCCCTGCGCAATTTGGGCAGACAACTAATATCATAGAAACGGCAAAAAAAAAGATTAACGACGGCGAATTTCTACAACATTTTTTTTGGACAAGAAAGTTCATCCTATGGATTGAGGTTAAGATTGAGAAGACTGCCAACTACAACAAGTTTCTCGAACGATAAAACGAGAACGAGAAGATAGAACCAAGAAATCCTGTACTGTCGAACTTGACGAAGTGAGAAGCGTACAACCATAAAAGCTCCCTCGTCTCTCCGCTCTACTCTTTCGTCTTTCTCTTTATGTAAGCCGTATAATATTGTTCCGTTACGTGTCGAACACTGTTGAGGGGTCAAACTCAATAATCTACTTGTGCAGTCATGGGACCACTTCTGAGTGGTCTAAAAGGAAACTAATTATACAGAACCATAAAGGTCGTCGAGCAGACTTACACATTCATCAATACGACTTGGTCATGCTCGATGGAGAATCGAATTTGGAAATTAATTGTACACGAAGATCTTCTTGATCAGAACCGTTATTCCCAAAGAAGTAGTAGGAGTGCTGACAACGTAAAATCATACACCGATGGCACGACAGAGCGCGTTTAAGGTTATCATACATTTTCAAAAGACAACCGAAAATAAAATAGATCGGGATAATAGTAAAAGTAAAATTCCTACGCGCATTAATGATTTTGTCATGCGTGGAGAGGCAGTTCGTCTTCTTCGAGCTCAACCAGCATAATTCAGAATCATCTTACACAATGCGGTGTGCTCGTCCTCAATATCAAAAGGAAAAATTCCCCCACCCCATATCAAAAGAAGTCTCTGATGCTGGATTTCAGTACACAAATCAGATTTGTCTTGCAGTAGAGGACTGCAGGCATACGCAAAGCCTGAGCCGCGATGTTTTGGCGTAGGCTCCTAGCATGAAAAACGTTGACGGTGTAGGCCCAACAGCATCACAAACCGCCTGCACAATGCGGCGGATTCTCTGCATTTGCCTGCATGCAAGACAGACAGGATTTGTGGTCACAAATCCGCATCACAGATTTTCAGAAGGATGCGCTTTCAATATGGGGAGGGGGGATTTTTCCTCACAATACTCAAAACTTGTTGTTCCACCCAACTGGCGATCCGATTAGACTCGATCGCCAGGATATGCAAGAAAAAAACGTTGTTAATGTAAATCTGTGATGCGTAACATGCAAGATGATTGCGCTTGTCATGCTTGGCATGCATCGCAGGGTCTATTAAAGGATGTTTTCACGTTCTATCTGCGCATGACAGGTTTTTGCTGTCATGCCAGACAAGTTTGTAATGCTTCTCCTCCAAAAAAGTTACACCTACAATGTTTTTTTCTTGGATACAGGACCTCCCCTCGACCTGCTCCTGCCGCCGATAACTGCTAGCCGCCCAGGAGGGCGCTCAGAGCCAATAACTGGCACTCACGAATCATACAGTACAACACTACAACCACCAGATGCTGGCGGCGTTAATAAGGAGTAATCGTGGTAGCCTACAACTTGAGGATTTATCATCCTTTCAGAAGTACGAGTGCCGATATGGGGGTGTCAGGATTGAAATCGTTAAAGTTGAAATAAGTAGTTTCTCATGCATAAAATGCAGCCCACAAAGCGCCGGTCTTGCGGAGTAGGCAAGTGAGGCAGATGTAAGCCTGTTGAGGGGTAGAAACTGAGGTGCTAAAGTAGCATGACAAAAGGCGCCTTCCTTTGCCAAACAGCATGACAAACTGGATTTCAGGTCTACCCAAATTTGTCATGCGCCAATTGGAACCTGGGTCACAGCAACTTATTTCATCCATTCTATGCATTGCAAGTTCTTTCAACTTTGTCGATTTCAATCCTGACACATCCATATCCGAGTTTTTTATCCTGCTCCGTCAGAGAATTGACAGTTCCTCATCGTTCCCATGTTCCCGTTCACGGCTGTTGTGTAGAAGTAGCCTGTTGCGTAGCCTGGGTGGACGCGCGTTGACCACGGGGTCTTCTCATGCCTGCGGCAACTGATCGCATCGTGTCTCTCATCGATCGCCCTGCCCTTCGTGCAGCGTTCCCAGCACTTGTGCGGCTGCGCCTTGCCGATTCTCCTGCGCTCCGCGCAATCCTCACGAAAAAAGCGCGCAGTTGCCGGAGGCTTTCCTGAAACTGTTCCGCGGCTGCGCTGCTAGCTCTCCCGAGGCGTTGTCTCGCGCTCGTCATGCCGGACCGAATAGCTGCACCAGTCGGTCTATTGATTGCAAATATGTCTGAGTCTGGAAGATTGCTGGTGCAAGTTGTCATGCTAAATATAGAATCATACAAAAAATCTGTGTTGCGTGAATACCAAAAGCTGCAGTCCACGTTCGACCAAAATGAGAGCGAGTTTCTCATGCAGGATTTCCATGACTGAGACCTCACAAAACCTGTCATGCTAGGTCCCGCACTCCAGACCTCCTGGGTACATGGAAAACCTGCATGACAAAGCTTGCATTCTTGCAACCCCAGACATATTTGCAATCCATACGGTCGCAGCAAGCGATCTCGCACCGGGCGTCCTATCCTGAGTAAAAACGTCCCCAACGTGTAGTCAAGATGGGGATCATAATTTTGCAACAACAACCTAGACGTCTTGGGGGTTACACATGACAGGTCGCAATCCGTGGTCGTGTAGTGCAGATTAGAGAGGACAGTCGCATCATAAATCCATTTTCTCATTCTGTTTACAGCATTACGAATTCCAAAACATGACAGAGAATGGCTCTCATGATGGGGATAATGCGCATCACAAATGGTTTTGGAATTGCAAATCTGCATGACAACTACTGCGTGGGGACGTAGTTTTCACCCAGGATACGTCCGACAGCTGCGCCAGTCCTGTAAGCAAACCCGCCAACTGCTCTGGCTCCGCTCGCAATGCCTCTGCCCGCTGCTTTGGCTCCGATCGCAATAGCACCACTCGCTGCTCTGTATCAAGTGCAAAAGTGTCTGGCTCTGGAAACTTGTGATGCGGGTAGGACAATCATGAGGACGCCCCAACTTGCAGCTCCGCATGACAAGTCTCTGGGTAGTACCTACGGTGTTGCGTATTCTGCATGACAGAGCGCGTTCCTGCATGACTGAAAAATAGGGCTTTTGGGTAATGTGCATGACAGACTTGGGAGTCATGCTAGCAGTGCATGACAAGTCTCAGAATCTTCCAGACCCAGACATTTTTGCAGTCCATACTCTGGCTCCGCGCGCAACAGCACCACGAACTCTTCTCAGTCCCCGCACTACCTATTGTGAGGAAAAATCCCCCCTCCCCATACCAGAACGGGATACTTCTCAAAATTTGTGATGCTGATTTGAGGTCACAAATCGTCTCTGTATTGCAAGAAGAGAAATAAAAAAACCCCGCCGCGTTCTGCAGGCAATTTGTCATGCTGTCTGGCCTACAGAGAATGTCCCTACCTTGCTAGGCGCCTACGCCAAAACAGCCCTATTCCGGCTATGAATCTGTCTGCAGTCCTCTACCGCAAGAGAAGGCCGATTTGTGTACACAAATCCCGCATCACAGATTTTCATTTCGATATGGGGTGGGGGGATTTTTCCTTTTGATACTACCGGGGGTCCAACCACGGCGCCGGCCGCGTAAACACCATCTCTAGCTGCGCGGTATGCATTGCAAATATGTCTGCGTCTGGAAGCTGTCATGCTGTTTTTGCACGACACAGAAGGTCTGGCATGGAAGCCCTGGCGTCACAGATTTCGAGAAGGTTTTGCAATGCCTAATCCGCATGACAAATCCCCAACTTTGGTGAAGACGAAAAGTGGGCAACACCTTTTGCTGTCTATGCATGAGAGATTTCTGTGTGTTGTGAAATGCGCATCACAACTCCACATCCTTCGAGACCCAGACATTTTTGCAGTTGATACGCGGCCCGCCTGCGCAACGCCTCTGCCGACGTGCGCCAAACCTCTATCCCAGAGAAAAAACCTGGCAGGGCATATTTGTAATGCAAAAACAAATACACACTAAAACTTGTCATGGGTGGCCCCATAGCATGCTGTTTCGGATTTGCAATGCATATTTTTTTGTGTATTTATTTTTGCATGACAAATATGCCCTGCCAGCTTTTTTCTGTGTGATAACCTCTGCCTGCTGCTTTGGCTCCGGTCGCCACACCTCTGCCTGCTGCTCTGGCTCCGGTCGCAATAGCACCACCCGTCGCTTGCAGCGCTCTGCCCGTGCAGGCTGCCGCCCGACCGGCCGCATCGCAAACCATCGCCACCGGCGGACGGATCGCTGCGCGAAGGCGGGAGAGAAAAAGCCCGACCATTCGGCCAAACGCCACCATCGCGGGCCACATGTAATCACGGCCGAGAGTCCCGATGGCGCTCCCGACAGTCGTGATGGCTCTCCCGACAGTCCTGAGCGCACAGAGCAATCCGGACCACATGGCAGTTGCGGCGCTCGCCAACCTGCGCCACAGCCCTCTCGCGGCCGCTCCGCCCAACTCCCCGGCTCTTCGGGCGATGTTTCCGGCGATATTGAGGAAAGAGATCGCGGCCCGGGAGATCCCGTGTACGACGAATTCCACAACGGGGGCGCCGAACGCCACAGCGCGCCGAATGCCACTTTCCGCAAGACCGAAAAGAAAGCCGCCGGCTTGCCAAATAGCGTCTCCGAGTGCGATATGCAATGCAAATATGCCTGGGTCATCTGGACTTTTTGTTATGCGACATTTCAAGGGCAACAAGATGGATCTGTAATGCATGAACAGAATTGGCCATTTTTTTTGTCGTGCTGAAAGCCAATTAGTCATGCGTTTCGCGAACGAATCTGCGATAAGCCTCGCAAAATTTCTATATGCTGTATATGCCGTACAACAAGTGGCCACTCTACTGCGCTGCGAGCCGTTCGGCAACACAGATTTATGATTCCAGACGCAGTAGACATATTTGCAGTTTGATAAGCGACCATTCCCGTGCCCAATCGCCTGATGCCGCTTGCCACAAGTGTGCCGAGAGGAGAGAGCACGTATGTACGGGTGTATTGTGAGGAAAAATCCCCCCTCCCCATATCGAAACGAAGTCTCTCACGCTGGATGTCCGTACACAAGTCAGAGCTGTCTTGCAGTAGAGGATTAGAGGCATATGCCGTGCCTGGGTACAGAGCTTCTGGCGTGGACGCTTAGCATCACAAACGTCTATGCTGTAGCCCAAGCAGCATCACAAACCGCGCGCATAATGCGGCGGAGACTGTAGAGCTGCCTTCTTGCAAGACAAATGGGTTTTTTTTGTGACCTCAAATCACCAACACAAATTTGCGGAGACATACCTTTTCAATATGGGGAGGGGGGATTTTTCGTTTCAATAAGGTCCACCTTGCCGCGCTCCACACCGCGTTCCCGACGTTTTGTGCAACCACTTGGACCGCCGCCAGTCCCCTCACCGCTGCCGCTGCAATACCGTTAAACACGATAACCGCTCCGCTGGCGAACAAGTTTCCTACCCTGGTGAGCACGTCCCACAGCACTGCTCCCATAGCGACAAGGCCGTGCAGAATCGGCCTGCCGAGGTTGTTGTACAGAGTATTGAGAGGAAAAATCCCCCCTCCCCATATCGAAAAGGCATGCTTCCGGAAATTTGTCTTGCTGATTTGAGACCACAAATCACGTCTGTCTTGCAAGAAGACAAATGCAGAGGCTTCCCTGCCATTATGGGAGCGGTTTGGCATGCTGTTCGGCCTAGAGGACAGCCGTTTGAAATGCTAAGCAACTAGACCAAAATGTCCCTCCCTAGGCTGCGGATCTGGCTGCGATGCCGTATTGCAAGACAGCGCGTATTTGTGTACGCAAATCTTGCATCACAGATTTCCCATTTGATATGGGGTGGGGGGATTTTTCCTTTTGATACAGAGCCTGCCCTACCCGCTGCGCCGCATTAGCGACAGACACCAACACGGTGGCGATCCCGCTGCCGACCCATCCGGCCGCCCTTTATCAAGTGTAAAAATGTCTGGGTCTGGAAGATTGCCAGGTTTGTCATGCACATTTTGCATGACTCCTGATGTCTGTGATGCATGCCCTAGCATCACAGATCTTGTGAGGGCTTCCAGATGCCTATACCGCATGACAAATGCTCTTTCCGTGTAGCAAAACTTGGACTCTCTTTGCTGCTAAAGCAATACAGATTTTTTCAGAATCCAAAATCAGCATGACAAGTTGGATTCTTCCAGACCCAGACATTTTTACTTTTGATACCCTTCCGACGTTGACAAAACCCGTCCACACCGCCTGCGCCAACGTGGTGACCAAGCTGCTAAAGGCCAGCACAAAGTTGCTCCCGAACGCCAGCAGCTGCGGCGTGATCCGGCGGGCGACCCGCGCTGCCCCGCGCCACAGAAACACAATGGCCTCCGGGAGGCAAACCACCGCCAGGTGCGACAGGCCTTGAACGCTGATGCTGATCAGGTACACCACCGTAAACAGAACCGTGAAAGCCCCCCGCAAGGCTTTGGTAAAAAATCTTATCAACTGCAAAAAATGTCTGGGTCTGGAAGATTGCCATGTTTGTCATGCAGGTTTTCTGTGGCTCATAAGGTTTACAATGCAGCACCTAGCATGACAAAGTCTGTGAGGTCTCTATCATGGCTATCCTGCGTGAGAAATTCCCTCTCAACCTGGTAAAAAAGGACGGCTGTTGGTAATCACGCAATACAGATTTTTTGCATGATTCAGATTTAGCATGACAAGTTCCAATTCTTCCAGACCCAGACATATTTGCAATGCATACATCTTTGCACAAGACCACTCGGTCTCGGGGCGATAGGCTGGTGAACACCTTGTCGATCCTGCGGAAGAACCTCCCCTACGAGGGGCTGGGCGGCGGGGTTCATGCTAGTTGCTGGCTCTTGCAGTGCTTCTTCAACATCCCCTTGTTCATCATCATCGCCCCCCAGGCTAAGCCAAGGCCGGAATTGGCCACATTGCATCTGACGCTCGCGCTCGGGCTGGTCCTGGTCCTCCCCACGACCCTGGGGCAGACGGCGGTCGGGCTGGTGCTGGTCCTCCCCCTGGGGCAGATGACCTTCTTGCATGAAAGATACCCCGGCGGTGTCCATGCGGTCGACGTCCTCAGGATCGTTGGGAAGATCAGCAGCTGTTGAACCGTTTTGCCCCTCGCCGCTGGCAACAACCTCCGCCGCTCGATGGTACGCGGCGTGTGCATCTGCCACGGCCCGACCAACAATCTCTTCCAGTGCAGCGGCGTCGACATCGACGGCGGGGGCGGCTGTCGTCCCGTTCAGCCGGGGGTTTTCTCGTTCCGGATGTTGAACAACGCTAGTACCAGCAGGTCCATCACCAGGTTGTAGAGCTTGGCTAACCGCCTGTTGACTAAGATC